AGCGATTTTTTTTGTGTGATCCATGATGGCGTTCATACTAAACAATAATAATGCCTCTTCTTGGTTCTTTCGGTAAAGTCACGTAGAATGGAAATAATAAAAATAAAAATAATAAAAGATGTTTTATCTTAATTATTTTATTATATAATAAAATAATAAAAATAAAACATAATACAATGTTTATTTTTATTACTTTAGTATTTCCATTCTACGTGAATTTACCGAAAGAACCGAAATAACCAAGAAGATGAACCCCTGCAGTCACGAAAGCTTTAAATCGAAAAATAATAATGCCCTTTATTATTTAAACCGCAAAGGCGCACGGAGCCCCAAGCCTCTCTTTTGTAATGAAACGAAGTAGTTGTACTCACTTGCCCGTGAGTAATTTGTTGTCGATTATTTACCTTCGGAAATAAATCTGCCCACGTCTCGCATCCCCAGGGCGTGTGCGTGTGCGTGCACCCCAGGTTAAGATTCACTGCTCGGCAGCTTGTGCACGTCTCTTGCGTGTTGCACGTGTTGCACACTCGAAATGAAGGACGTGGGCAGGTGCTCCAAATCGAGGGCAAGCACATTTATTTATTGTGGTTAATATTAATCTTGGGAAGAACAGCACCGTCACTCTGTAAAATGCAACAACACGTGTGTTACAACCAGCCTTGCTCCCGAGCCGCCATTAACCATGTGACTGGTATATCCGCGTGGTCATTCAATAACCCTGCCAGCCACCTACAGGCCCGACTCAGCCATCACATGCTGCTGTACACACATGCATTGATGCACTGCACAGCACATCAGGACCTTCACAGAACCACACTTTACTCCCTTGCTGCACAAGGATAAATTAAAAGAGTGATCCATTCCTAATGTGCCACACACGTGACAGTCAAATCACGACTGTCTTACTGATTTTTGTTGTTGTTGTTGTGATCTATGGTGCCGTTGATACCAGTAATAATACTGCCATTCATTATTTAACCAGCAAAGGCGCACTGAGTCTCAAGCCTCGATTTTTGTGACAGGAGGGTCCTGCGCTGGGGTTATGATTTTGCGATCGCATTCGTGGGTGTTTGGCATCGATGGCTCCGAGCCGGCGGTGATGAATCTGCATCTCTATGGCAAGGTGCCAGTCGCTCCGTACGAACATCGCGTGCAATTCTTTTGGAGCGCAAAAGCAGCAGCCGATTTCAAACCACTTCTGGATGGGCATAAACCACGAGATGCTGCTTGACGGCCGTCGTACGCTGCGGTGTTGACGTGATTCGCCATCCTAGTGACCTCTGTGTGTTATGAAGAAGGGCCATTACCCGAAACGTCACCGGTTATATACTTTTATATTTTTTTAAGGCCGCAGTGGTATTGACGAAAGTGTTGCGTTGCTTTGCCATCATGGTGGATTGTGGGTAATCTTGTAACACAACCTTGTACTTGACATTGGTCTAAGTTACTCATACATCTCATCACATGATATAATTTAGCCGAATCAAGTGAAAAATCTCGTGCGGTTATTGGTTTCAAGGTGACAGAGCCGAGACGATCAACTGTCTAGAGCCCACAGTTGAATCATCGCTGGCTGAAACCCAGATTAACGCGCAGGATCTTAGTGGCGCTAACTCACCATCAGAATCACTCGCAAACAGGCACCACCTTGTGAAAGACCCAACGCAGAAGAACATCCCTGGGGTTAGACGCGAAGCTCACGGTCCACCCCGAATCGCACCCGCTGCACAAACTATGGCAGTAGACGCGGATACCCGAAGGACAAACGGAAAATGTAAAGCTCTCCAGTCGTGTGACCGTGGTCATCCTGAACAGACCTACAACGTATAACGACGCAATGCCCCAATCCACAAATTCGAAGGAGACATCGCAAACGATACTACTCTGCTGCTTCTGATGCTGTTATCTGGCTTGAGCGCCTGACTGTGAAATTGTAGTTGTTGCTCTGCATGTACATCAGCCGTACAAAAGAAGAAGCACCTCTGACATGCCTATTGGCCCCGAGTCATGTTGTCACCTCAAGGCTTTCCCAAATGCTGGAGTTGCCCACACAGCAGCAGAGGAACGTACGGCTCTGTAGAATTACCTGCAAGTGGCAACCCATGCTTCCTCCAGCTGTCATGTATGTGTAGTGTAAGAGCGCCGGCTGGTGACCAGCAGCGGCAACTGCGGTGGACAAACAGCACACACGCCGGTGAGCATATGCACGGCTGTGTCGGCAGGGCGGAGGAACTGGGGCAAGGGTCATGGAGGGCCCCATCTGGAAGCCCCTGGAACCTGCTGGTGGGTTCGAGAAGGGAGGCGCGGCCAGGGGGGAGCCAGGCCACGCTGTGAGGATAAAAGGGGCCGAGTGCGGGAGCTCGAGGCTGCCGGTTTTGGGATTGGATCGTCTCGTCGTCGCTGTCGTCTTTGTCGCCATCGTCGCTGCGGTCTTCGCCCGACATTGCGCTGCGAGATAGCCTGTTAACGGTCTCCGTCAGCGCCGTCGATGTTAGATGGCTCGTGTTGTCATAGGCTAGCGACGACAGAGTGTGTGCAGGCGAGATCGTGTGTGTTAAATAAAGAAGTTGCCTCTACAAACGTCGTCTCCGAAGTCACTGCACGACACAGGTACGTTGAAGTTCTTGCGCACCGTGCGTAGTGAACCGTGTTAATGTATGTATGTTGAACTTCGTTCGCACTATAAGTAAGCCAACCGTGCTAATCGGAGGTGCAGGGGAGGGGACAACACACTAAACATAAAAAGCAGTTATAAAGAAATTAGTTTTCAAACTAGATTTAAAAGTGCAAAGCTCCAGTGGTTTCCTAATATCGGAAGAGAGAGCATTCCAGACGGCCGCAGAAGCGCATCTGAAAGCGAGCGATGCAGCGACCGTCTTTGTTCGATGGTTAACCAAAAGCCGCTGCGAGCGTGACCGGAGTCTATGTGATGGTTTATGCTCCTTGACGAGATCGGCAAGGTAGTGTGGTTCATTTGCGGCAAGCACTTTGTGTATGTGTAATGAGTGCAGCCTCATCATGTATCCGTTCGCCAACTGGAAGCCAATGCAGCTCAGCGAGCACCGGACCGACACGGTCGGACCATGTCGTACCCGTCACGACACGTGCCAAAGCACGAGCTGGCATCCTTCCAAGGACACGTCTTACCCTGCACAGCACTCGAGCTACGCAGAGCGATCGGCTCGCGCCGTCAAAATCTACCGACCCGTGCACAAACGAGGTGAACGCAGAAAAAAACCCAATTTTTTTGCATTCATTAATTTGTTTTGGTGTTACGCTTGTTGTCCTTCACCCAGCATGCCTCCGATGTATGCACGGTTGGCACAATCGTACGGCGCGAAAGAAGTTCAACAGACATGCGCACGCGCTCGTCTCGTGCAAATCGGTTGGCACTTCGCCACACTCGAGAACTCTGCTCAATCCACACGATGGCTCAGCGGTCTCGCGTGAAGCCCTCCACACTCCTCCACCTCACAAACACCATCGACCGTCCCAGGCCACCACGCAAAATTCACTTTTCGTTTCCTTTTCCGCGAGGACGGAATCCGCGAACGCGATTCTCTCGTTCTCGCGCACACAATCACTCACTCACAAACGAGGCAGTGCTTGTGTTGTTGCTGCTGCTGCTGTTGGTTTAATTGACTGGACGATTTTCATGTTTTTAAACGTAGCACAAACGGACGACGACACGCGAGACGAGCCCCAAACCAACCAGACACGACACGACGACTGCAGCAGCAGCAGCAGCGCAGGCCAATACTGAACGACCACTTACTTCTGCTACAACGTTGAGTAAACACTATCAAACACGGATGATCTATATATACACACACACACGTAACGTATCTCTTTCTTGTTACCTGAACGACCCGAGGGGAGGGGGGTGGAAACATTTGTCGAACGTCAGATGCAACGAATTAAAGGTCGTAAAGTGCATCGTTCCAGCCAGAGGGAATACACCAGCAATGGAGAAAGTCCGGTCGGAAATAAGTCAACAACTCGCACACACGCCAGCACACGCTGGGCACCGAGAGAACCCCCATTGCCAGCTGCTGAACCCGGTGGGGACAGCTTTTCATTCTCTGAAGCCCCACGAAATAGGCGGAGTGGTGTCGGTCGTTCAATTGTCAGCGAGCCGAATAGAGGACACGTGACTCTCGGTGTGGGGGACACTGAATCCTGGAATTGTCCGGGATTACTGGGGGTGGAAAAGGAAAGGGAGCGCAAATATGATGATGTTTAACCGAAATGAATTGGGACATGAAGTGTGCCCGGTTAATTACTGCGGGCGTGTTAACCGGCGACACGCGTGTGCCGTAACAGTGCACGCCAATGATCCCCTAACGCCGTTCGCAGGAGGAGGCCGTTGTGCGGCCGGCCTCACGGTCCGAATTTTGAAAAGTTACCCCGCAAATTACTCGGTTGGAATCTATGCAGTAGTCATCGCCCCCCCCCCACCACCACCCCTCTTACTGTCAAAACCGAGCAGCACCCTCGAGTAAAAGTCAAGCGACTCTGCGAGGCCTCGCTGCGTGAAATAGTCGAATAGTGAACAACATTCGGCTCTCGTTAGGGACACTGTCTTGTTTGCTGTGCAACGTTGTGGAGACTTGATGCTCATGTGCAATCCCTACCGGATGTGTAAAAACGATAGAGGAATTGTGTGGAAGTGCCACCATTTAGTCAAAGTTAGGAGTCAAAAGTGTTTCCCCGTTCAAACGACCGTGGAGGGACGATTCTCTCCACTGGTGGCCCGAAAGCGGAGGTGTAAATTCCACGTCACTATGACAGAAGCCGGTCTTGCTACGGAATAATAAGCTCGCAACATTTTAGGCCAATCCAATCAGACCTGCTTGGATAATACCAAACTAAAGTGATGGACAGCAGAAAACACTTTACCACCGTAAAGAACTAATTGCCCTTATAACAGAAAAATAAAACGGCAAAAGTTATTGGGGAAATTGCCCTTGTTGAGGGCAGAGAGAGGAAAAGGGAGACGATTACGACTTGGAGACAACATTTTATATTTCAAGACACCACTTTGCAAACTCCCATCTCCGTTTATGGGCCAGATTCACTTGCCGATGACGACATAAATAGCTTAAAGCGCGCCGACTCGGCAACTTGTCGTGCAGCTTGGTGACGCAGATTCATCGGCAGCAGTTTTCCACCCAACAAAGAAAAAAACAATCTGACAAAAATGAGCGTTCGCCAACAGGCAAATCAGGCCGCGTTGCAATTTTCTCCACAATGTATGATGGCGTTTAAGTCTTTTCAGCCCGTGCACATTTGCCAGAGGCAATTCTGTTCGTGTAGCGGTATTTCCCTTCAAGTAAAGATGAGTTGCTTTGTGCGTGCCCCCTTGCGGACATTTTTCATTGCAGCCTGAAACTTGAGAATTTGGCCCTTAATTTAAATGTTAAAAAAAAATAAGCGAAGTCAATAACAATTAACAATAAAAAAACACAACAACGTATTTTTCAGTGCACCGCGTTATACGACACGCGCGAGGGATAGGGGAACAGGACGTCACGCATGTTCACGCCGGACGGAAAAGTGCACGACACGGGCGACTCGACGTTTGCACGGCTCTCTCAGGTCGCCAAAAAAAAGAACACGGCCAAAACCCAAGGGGTTAGTGGCGCTTGAAATGTGTTGACGTTGCGGATCCAAACAAACGGTGAAAATCACACCGCGATTGATACACAGGCAAGAGCATCCCCCCCCCACACCACCTCCTCATGCTCTCCCATCAGTGTGATCTCAAAACAATGTCAGCATTTTTGAAATGTCTTTTAGCTTTTGACTTTGTGTGTTTTTTTATTTTGGCGTTTGTTTTTACCTCTAACCGGCTTGTAAAAGAGTAGCTACATTGGTAAAGGAAAAATTTAGGGACCTAATTGCTTCCGAATTTTGGAAGGTTTACACTCCCCGTTTTAGTATTTGCCTCTTCAAGAATTTGACAAAAGGCTTCGTTCCGGCTGTGGCGATGCCATGGGCTTTGTCTCCGAAGGCTTCATTTCTCACAACACTACTGTTGGGTTTAAGCGGCAGACATCAGTAACAACGTTTAACACTGATAATATTTCACACGCGTGTATATATATATATATATGTTTGTTGCGATGCAAATAACAACGGCGACGGACACTGAAGAATTGGTATAAGAGCAATGTAAATGGGATCGTTTTGAACTTGTACGTTTTCTTCTCTCCACGGAATAACATTTTTATCATCGACTTCTCCATGCAAATGTAGAGAGACATTTTTTACCATCGAAGAAATGCGTTTGTTTTACCATTTGAACACACGCGCCCTTTACTATCTCTCGGAATTTATCCACGGACTCAGCCTCCCGGTATACCAATGCAATTTAATAAAACACGAAAATGCCTGCGTGTGACCGCACAGGTAAAAAAGAAATACCACTTGTAGCCTCGTAGACTATCAAGGGCAAGCGAGTGTTGTTCGGTGAGCACCTATTAAAGTCGGCGCAGCGCAGGAGGCAACTGCATGGCCAGCAGCATGTGAACCTGGCCGTCTTTGTCTCACCAGTGTTGACGCTAGTTGAGATTAGAGTTTGGGAATCGAACCCGGGTTTGCCAAAATCGTGGCACGGCGTGGAGATAGCGCACAGGTTCCCAAACGTAGCCGATTAGGCCACCTTTCCATGTGTGCAAGCCAACAGGGGGAGTGGAACGCAAAGAGTCGCGACTGGCAAAGCGAAGGAGAGCTTCGGCACGTCGCCAGGTCAACGGCGCCCTGACCTCAACCCGGAGTGGGGTCGTCACTGCGTAAGCCACTCTCCTCGCTCAATCTCCTGCACGGCCCCGTTAATCCCCTGGGGGCATCTTGCGGAATGCTAAATTTAAAGGGTCGACCACTCGCCGGCGACGTTGCGTTACGCTCTCGAGTATTTGGGCAAACTGTGGTTCGCAAGCCACTGTGCGCCCGAGTGCCGAACTGCGACCGAAGTGCACGGCACCGGCTTTGGTGGGCCTTTTTCCTTTAGTTTTTTTGTTGTTTTTTACTTTTTTACTTTTTGCTCGCCTCTCGGTGGCTGAAAAAGCCGACGGGCTACCGACTTGCGACCGCACGACAAAAACACCAAGACACGTGTGCAAAGCCGTCAAACATGAACGAAACGACGAGGAACCACGACGGACAAGCCGGGGGGGGGGGGGGGGGATAACTAACGCCGCAGGCACCCCCCGCCTCCCCTCCAGGCAGGCGGGAAGCCCCATCGGCGGGCCAAGACACGGACAGTCACCGAGCACACAACATGGAGAAAATAAATATTCACGCGGTGTGACATTGCGGGGGGACGCGACCTGCACTGCCCTGCAAGCCCCGGTCAGGTCGGAGCGGCTCCGTACTCAAACGAGCCCCCCGGTGCTGGGCTCGTGTGACGCAGAGCCAGTGGTGGAAATTCCACGTTCCTATGGCAGGGCGAATTACACCCGTGGGGTGACGACGACCGATGACTTTGCACCAAGTGAGACTCATCAAATCGACCCTGGAAGGATGACGGGAGTGGGAACATGCAGTGCAGCCCCGACCTGAGTCACCAGCAAAAATGTCGCGTGACAGTAGTTGTGTGTTTTGGCAGTGCGAGACACGGGGCTACACTGCACTGATGATCTCATGAGGATGAAACCGACGAGGCTGTGAAGGCGATTCGTGGCTCAAGGGGTTATGAATGGCCGTGTTGAGGTACTGAGCGAGAAGCATGAGGGAAAACATTTCTAGGTCTCCCGCTGCGATGAATCCAGGAACTCAAATGTAGAGTCCAGTGAACGGACGGCCACACATTAATAATGTGGTGGATGTTTGCCCAATTTGGCCCGGCTTTTGGAGCTAACCTTGATAAATACTTGAGTGACATCTGGTCATTTACTATTTGGACAGGGAGAGAGACGGACCTCGGTGCCTTCGTGAGTACTTCTGGCCATGGTGTCACCTCGCAAGGACCGTTCCCCCACGGTTGCATTCTAACCGAGTTTGCCAAGCGAAATCTAGAGGCCCATCACAACAAGACTCCATAAGCACAATTAAAATGTAACGAGTGCTTAACAAAAGTAAAACCCGGATTACTTTTTTGTTTCAACAAAAACACTCAACACATTCGCCAATAACACTGTGGCCCGAAAATAAAAAAATATCATTGACAACGTTTCGGACAAAGGCAATTTCTCGTCGCTCATAAATAACAGAAATGTCGCCCATCACACATACGTTATTCTCGAGGCCACAGCGTTCTTGACGGCCGTGTTGGGTTTCATCGTTAATTGCGCTTGCGCACCACGTATCGTTGTAAAGTAATCAGTGCTTGGCTCTGACGGCGTGGCGACGCACGCTCATCGTTCAGTGCTTCGGAGGGAAGGGTTTGTTGGGTCGCGTCGATTCGCCAAGCCCGCGTGGCTGCAAGGTGGCCATGAGATGGTAGTGCATCAGGAAGGTTAAGTGAATCCTTCCGTCTGGACCTGTTGAGCGCTATGCCCTTGCCTGCGTGGGTTTTCTCTGGGGACGCCAGGTTACTTCCGCAATGCAAAACAATCCTTCCAAACAAAACTGGCAAGACAATGGCAACATGGAACCTTCCCGTAAAAGATCTGGAGGCTCAATGACACCTGTCTGGACGTGAGACATTGAGGCCTGAATATTGACGTGCCTCGACGATGGTCTGGAGCTCACGCCACAGCTGCCCAGCACCGCCACTAATGGTGTGAGCAGCTCCTCACAGGCCACGGCTGCCCGTCAGTGATGAGAGGAAAAAATAAAAAATAAACCTTTAAATCCTGGTTCTGCAGGCGGCTTGGGTGTGTGACGAAAGGTCTACAGGACGATGGGTTTTAACCACGGGGATGAACGCACCGGCACCTTCAGGATAAATAAACACAACTGTTACTTATAGGGCTTGCAGGGCGTTGTGGGCGTTTTCCCCATGACGCCGTGCGACGTTGGCATGTAGTATATTGCTCTACACACGTAATGCGCTTGTGTAGAGCGGAGTGGGCGGCGGGCGAGGTTGTCTCGAGCGGCAGAAGCGGGAGAGGCTTGCGCCAACGCTCACAGGATGCTCTCCTTCTCTGCACTAGCTCCGGCGCTGTCTGCCGCGCCACCCGCTCCTCCTCCTCCTGCGCCGCTGCTGCCGCTGCTTCCGCCCCCCTTCTTGCCCCTGGTAGGCGCGGGCGCCTTCCGGTTGAGGTTGGGTCGCGCGTTGTCGACCCTGGCGCGCGCCGTGTTGGCTTTTGCCGCATTGCCGCCGCCGGCTCCACCTCCGCCGCCGCCGCCGCGCAGCGGCACGCGCACGTTGGGGGAGGAGGGGGCCGGCCCGCCCGCAGACCGCCCTGCCGCTCCCGTCCCCCCTCCTCCTCCAATGCTGCCCATCTTGGATCTCGCCGTTTGCTTCTTGGGGGGCGTCATCGGAGTCGCGGCACTGCGTGGTGCCGTGGCGGTGCTCGGTAGAACGCCGCCGCCGCCGCCGCCAGTACCGAGGGAGGAGCGGTTGTTGTTGTTGATGGTCTCTACGCTGTCCACGCGATTCAGAACGCCGCCCCCCACCACGGCCGCCGGCTCCGCCTTCCGCCGCCGGCCCGTCTCGGCCTGCGCGACGGGCGGCACGAGCGCTCGCCGCTCGGCCTCGGGGCTGCTCAGGATGAGGCTGCTCTCGGAGCCCGACGGGCTGCGCTTGCCGTCGGAGCAGATGGACATGCGCGTCACGTCCGGCGCGTCCGGCGCGCCGCCCCCGCCCGCCGTCGCCGTCGCCGGCATCGGCAGCAGCAGCAGGGGGCCGGCGTCCACCGCGGCAGGCGCCAACTCGGCGCCGGCGAACTCCACGAGGTCGCCGACGGCGCGCGCCGCCGGCGGCCCCGCGAAGCCGCACGGGCCCGGGGAGCAGTCGGCCACGCGCGCGCCCGAGTCGGACGAGTCTTTCTTGCCCAGCGGGATCATCTCGGCGACGTAGCCATCGGACTTCGCGGCGGGGCCGCCCGCCTTGCCGCCGCTGTTGTTGGCGTTGGTGTTGGCGTCGTCGGACGGCTGCGCGGCGGCGGGGCGGTCGGCGTCGGGGTCGGCGGCGGCGGCCGGGCCCCACCGCTCGAGCGCCGGAGCGGCGCTGTCGGCGGCGGCGGCGGAGCGCAGCAACGGCACGTCATCCGATTCGTCGGCGCCCGAGTTGTCGTCGTCGCTCGCCAGCTGCTGGTAGCTGCGGTGCTTGATGTCCACCGCCTGGAGCACGCGCTTGCCCAGCGTGGCCGCCGCCGCGGCCGTCGCCGAGGCCGCGGCCGCGGCGGCGGCCGGGCGCGCCCTGCCCCCGGCGGGGTCCCCCGCGTGGTCCTCCTCCTCCGTGATGGGGTCCAGCGCCGGCACGGCCGCCGCCGCCGCGCACTCCGGCGCCGCGGAGGAGTCACTCGCGTCGGCGGAGTGCGACGACGCCGCTTTGGAGGGCGGGAGGGACGACGACGAGGAGAGGGAGGCGGAGAGGGAGAACGGCTGCCCGCCTCCACCTCCTCCTGCACCTCCTCCTCCGCAACCGCCGCCCGTGGCGCCGCCACCGCCGTATGCGGCCACGCGCTGGGAGCAGGCGTTGTGGTTGCGGTTCTCCTCGTGCAGAGAGACCGAGGAGACGCTGCCGCCCAGCAGGAAGTGCACGGGGCTGTGCGGGGACGTCACCTGGAGGAGGAGAAGGAGGAGGTGGCAGGCAGAGGCTCATTAGCGGGGGGCGGGGGGGGGATGGGTCTGCCAGCGATTCGACAGATCGCCCTGCGAGTGGAGGCCACCCAGCTCCCAATTGGGATCGCACACACACACTCACACATACACATGCACACACACCACACACAAACACAGACACACACACACCGACACACACACACCGACACACACACACCGACACACACACACACCAACACACACACACACACCAACACACACACACACACACAGACTCACGGCCACTTGGGAGGCCGCTGCTGAGACACTTCGTGCCACACAGGGACAGCTGCCACTGGGGGTCCCCCCCTTACTAGTGGTCGAGATGAGGTGTGACGTGCGGTGATTTGAGATGCTGAGGAGAGTGGGTGAGAAAGGAGTCGTACAGTGGTGGTAGGAGTGGTAGGGGTGGTAGGGGCGGTAGGAGCGGTAGGAGTGGTAGGGGTGGTAGGGGTGGTAGGGGTGGTAGGGGTGGTAGGAGTGGTAGGGGTGGTAGGGGTGGTAGGAGTGGTAGGGGTGGTAGGGGTGGTAGGGGTGGTAGGAGTGGTAGGGGTGGTAGGGGTGGTAGGGGCGGTAGGAGCGGTAGAGGCGGTAGGAGCGGTAGGGGTGGTAGAAGTGGTAGGGGTGGTAGGGGTGGTAGGAGTGGTACGAGTGGTAGGGGTGGTAGGAGTGGTAGGGGCGGTAGGAGTGGTAGGAGTGGTATGAGTGGTAGGAGTGGTAGGGGTGGTAGGGGTGGGAGGAGTGGTAGGAGTGGTAGGAGTGGTAGGGTTGGTATGAGTGGTAGGAGTGGTAGGAGTGGTACGGCTGGGTAGGAGTGGTAGGAGTGATAGGAGTGGTAGGGTTGGTATGAGTGGTAGGAGTGGTAGGAGTGGTAGGAGTGGTACGGCTGGGTAGGAGCGGTAGGAGCAGTCAGCGAGTTCAAGACTGGCGGCGAGTGTCGGACTGTAAGTGCGCCAGCGCGCGACCGACCTGCGAGCTCTTGATGGAGCTGGCGCCGCTGGTGGGGCAGTCCACCTGCGCCATCTGGCTGATGTAGGCGCCGTAGGCGTCGCGGTACTCTGCCTGCTGCCGCTCGGCCAGGCGCGACAGTTCCGCCACGGAGGCCTCCGAGTTGAGGCTGGACATGCTGTGCGTGCGGTGCGACAGTCCGTCCGCCAGACGGCCCGCGCCCTGCGGCGACAGCGCGCACGGCAGGCACATTGCGGGCGGGAAAGCAGCCGAGAGCTTTGCGTTGGTGACGAACGAGGAATCGCAATTATAATAATTGTTATTTTTTTTACTATTTCGTACGTTTGGTATTCGATACCGTTGAGAATAGGTTTTTCCCCTTTAATCTGGCAACAAAACAGCTGTGTTAAGTTGTTAAAACACCAAACTGAAACCTTTGACAAGAATCGTGTCTGCATTAACCACAATACTTGTGGTCAAAATACAAAAAAAAACACACTGATGATATATGCATTGTCCTTGAAACTGATTGGTCCACACCAGAGACAGCTTTCTTTTGAGCCTCGTCTCAAACGGTGTTCGACCAGAGGACGCCAAAAGGCGCACAGCACAAAGACAATGCCACTATCAGAGTAATGAGAGCTCGGGGTGAGCCTCGACATCATGGGACCTCCTTTGCCAGTACCAAAATATTCGCTACCATTCTCGTACCCCCACAACCATCATCTCAAGGTCGCACTCATTACACACAAAGTGCCTGCCACAGATGAACCGATCTCGTCAAGGAGCAGAAACCATCACGCGAACACTGGTCATCCTCGCAGTGGCGGCTTTCGTCTCGCCTTCGAAGAAAGACGCTCACCGCATCGCGCGCTTTCAGATGTGTGTCTGCCGCAATCTAGAATGCTCTTACAGTAAAACCTTGGAATGCGAGTAACTTGGTCTGCGAGTGTTTTGCAAGACGAGCAATTTTTTTAAAATAAATATTAATTTGATAAACAAGCGAGGTCTTGCCATACGAGTAGTACGTGCATACGCTTTGTCTGTCGAGCGTCACGTGATCACAACTGATATACAAGTGCTTTGATATACGAGTGCTTTGGATTACAAACAGGTTTCCAGAACGAATTATGCTCGCAATCCAAGGTTTTACCGTACTTCCGATATTCGGAAGCGACTGGAGCTATGCACTTTTAAATCTCGATTGAAAACGAATTTCTTTCAAACTGCTTTTTGTGTTTAGTTTGTTGTGCTTCCCCCGCACCTCCGATCAGCACGGTTGGCTACGTACAGTACAAAAGAAGTTCAACATACAAACTGACATGTATGTTGAAACAAATATAGTGTATCAGTCGGGGTTGATTTTGCTGCTGTTTATTCCAATGAAGTAATTTGCGAATAACCTTTTTAAATTGGGGGAAAAATAATTGACCATGTCATCACCAATGACCTGCTCTTTTTGGGACTTTCATCGTCCCGCGGGAAGCGATCGGCGCATGGTGTCTATAGTCGACACACCCACGCAAATATTAACCAGGGCGGGCATTTCGAGGACTCCCGCTATTAGGCGCACGGAGTACGTGCGGCAGCAGCAGCAACAGCATACACACGACACAAAGCACGCACGTTCTTAGAGTACACGTACGTACGCGCGCTACATGCGAACGCTGGCTCGGAGCCCAGCCGCAATGTGATGGGCGGTGGGGGGGAAGTTTGCCATTAAGGCTGGCGGCCCTGTTATAGAAGCAACGTTGCCAACAACATGAAAGAAGGTCCAAAGAAATATGCGAACGTAGACACGTGGGAGAGGGCCGGGCCACCCCCCTCGGGCAACGGCGTAGGCCCCTCCGGCCGAGTTCCGTGACGGATTGGCAAGGGGTGAACGCATCAAACGCGGTGGGGTGGGGGTGGGCTAAGGAGCGGATCAGACTAGCACGCTGGCAAGCTGGAACACTGACAAGAGGAGGTACGGTTGTGGCCCAAAGGTCAATACAATTTAGTTATTTCTTCAAGTGCAGGTGGCGTGCATCCAAGAAGCGAGATGGAGGGGAAGCGTGGCGAAAATTCAATCGGATCGGCGGTTACAAGGTCAGCCGCCACGGGACGACGCTATCGTCGCGAGTGAAGATACGAAGAGGTCACAGCACGGGAGGGGAAGGCTGCAGCCAAGGGCGGATTGGACGGTGCGTTCCTACGCATGGCGACGTTCGTTAGCAGTGACGGCCTAGAGGACGAGGTCAGGGGACTCGATCGCAGCCTGCAAAGCCTCCCGGGAAAACGAGGAGGTGACCGTCAAAGCGTCAACATTTCACCGGCATGTGAGGAGGAACGAATAAGTGCCTGTGAGTGATGCCGTAGGGGCCAAGTATGTATGTTGAACTTCCTTCGCGCCACATGTAGCCAAGCGTGCTAATCGGAGTCGGTCACATTAACGAGCAAGGCGGAGGGGGAGTTCCTGCGGAGCTCTGCGACCTGTTTTCGGGTTGCGCGTCGCGTGCTGTTCGGCACGACGTGCGACGTGACGCAGCGGAACGATGTTGTCAAAACACAATTCTCGATGTAAAATTAGGTCGGCCAGCGTGCAACTCGCTGTCCAAAGTGGAGCTTTCCAGTGAAGAGGTTAAGATGCGATTTGATTTTTTTGCCGAATTTGCCAAATGAGAGGGAACAGCAACTCGACCGCCAGGACCACATCACCCCTCTCAGTACCCTCCCGAGCCCTGCATAGCGCTTGTGTGGGTAACCACGTCGTGCGTCAAGAGACGGTGGGGGGGGGGGGGGGGGGGGGGGGGGGGGGGGGGGGGGGAGCAACGAGTGGTGGTTTAGTGCAGTCGGCGTCTTGGGAGGCAGCGGTGGAGGGCAGTGCGCCCCGAGCCCAGCACCGACCACCGGTCAAACGCCCCTCACGCCCTCTCGCATGGCGCGCGGAGGGGGGGTGAGCGGGAGGAGGGGCGGTTCTCATCCAGCAGCGGATTGCCAAACGGGCGGGCGGCTGTGGCTGCTGTTGTGGCTGCTGCTGCGGCTGCTGTTGTGGCTGCTGCTGCTGCGGCCCACCTGCCACAGCGAGGCCTGTCCGCCCAGCGCCGGCTCGTCCAGGCCCACGGTGCACAGCTCCTCGAAGCTGAAGTTGAGGCTGTACTTGTCGTTGGGCAGCGCCGCGTCCGGCTTGGCGGCCGCCCCCACGGAGGCGGAGGCGGTGACGGTGGCGCGTTCGCGGTGAGGGGGCGGCCCCCCGTCCAGGGCGCTGACGCCAACACCGCCGGACTCGCCGGCGGAGCGCAGGTCGTGCGACGGCTGCTTCTCCAGCTCGCGCATCTCCAGCACCTGCGGGCGTTGGGAGGGGGGAGGACAGACGGGCGGATGGACAGGTGGACGGATGGCGGATGAGGACGATGTTAAAGGTCGCCGGGTGGCATGGGGGGGTTGGGAATACCATGGCACGGTGTGCAGTCGGCACCGCTGACAACCTGGGATGGAATTGGGATTTGGGCCACATGTAAGCAAACTAGGAGCCGGGTAGCATCGCTCGTAAAGCAACAAAACTAAACAATTTTTATTTTACCAGGCAGCAATATTGCTCGTTTTCAGAAGCGACCTGGCCACCAATGATTGCTGCTGAAGCCAAGTGGCTTATCATGTTTCTAAATATTATTGGTTCTTTCGGTAAAGTTACGTGACTTTCCCGAAAGAACCAAGAATATGAATCCCTGCAGTCACGAAAGCTTGAAATCGAAATGTTTCTAAATGTGGAGGAAAAAACCAGAGGACCCGGAGAAAAATCCACGCGACCACGGGGAGAACATGCAAACTGCAAATAGGGTCGGGATCGAACCCACGACTTCCTGTACACCTGGCGCTGCAAGTCAACATCTCTCCACGGTGGTGAGATGTTAACTAACAAAACCCGCTTCCTTGCAGCGATGAACATCAAGTGGTCAAGCAGTGACCGGTTGGCTCAGCCATCTGTGATTTTAAACCGGGTTCTCAAGTTTTAATCTGGGCGCCAATGACTGCCAAGCAGCCGTGACATTCCAGCTCCATGACAATGCCACTAGATAAGCACACACCAGTCTTAACCGCAAGAATGCAATGCACATGAACATAAGGTACAGTACAATTTGCATTTACATAAACGACTGAGCTGCACATGCTGGCTGCCAAAGGGCAGATAATTTCACCATGCTGATACACTTTAAACATTGTGCTGTGAACGCCGATTGGTACAGGGAGCCATGTTGTTGTTGCAACACGTTGTTGACGTTGTTGTTGTTGTTGTTTGGGATCGGTGGCTCACGTTCCATCGCGGTGCAGGAGCGATCACACATCACCGTGTTGTGGCGTTGGTTTATGAAGCACGGCTGTGTGTGGCAGCTCAAGCTTGTGGTGAGCTGCAGCCTCTCACCATGCTTCTGAAGAGCTGCCAGTCTCCAAAGTTCATGCTCATTTCGTCCTTGAGTTCATCCATGTTGCACTGTGCCAGCACTCTTCCATTGATGTTTGCCTGTTTGGAATGTCGCATAAAATACACAAAGACAAAGATCCCCCTGTATAGCCTCAACAGACTTATTGGGACAAGTGCTGTTAGCGAGCATCACCTTTGAAGGCTGGCACAACACACGAGGGGGCAGGTGGCCAGCACCACACCCGGCCGCCTTTGTCTCGTGAGTGGCGATGTTTACACAACGCACCCGGTACATATTTGAGGACGAGTCGACCTAGGGGAGGCCCACGGCCGGTTCAGATAATCATCACCGGTGTTAGCCGTGAGCAGGAATCGAACTCGAGGTCACCGGGTTCGTAGCGCTGTGCGCTCACCACTGCGCCCCCGCTCACCACATAAAATACACACACACACGAGGACAAAGATCTCCTGTGTTCGAGTTGTACGCGACCGGGGCGAGTGCAGAGCGCAGTAAAAATGTCATCCTCCATGAACGGGGTGGCGCTTATTGCACGTTGGCGGCCCACAGCAACTTACAGGACATTCCACATTCCCATGGTGGGGGCCAGGCTGTCAACACGACAACAACCCTAAACGTTTATTGTCCGTGGAGTTGACCTGGAGCCAGGATTTGTAGTTCGCGGTAAAATGGGTGAAGGCAAAGGCGCAGCCCTGCAATGGCTTGCTCATGCCACTGCCGGCAGAAGGGCCTCCACCGTAGGCTCTTTGGCCTACTCTCCCACGATGGCCAGTCGTGTTGAGAGTTGGATGTACCCATCAGTGTAAATGAATACATTTATCCTGCTGGGCAGACAAAAGTGCAAGGTCGATTAACAAATATTGCTCAAGCTTTTCTGTGCCAGCAGATGGAATCAAACCCGTTGACCAGCGTAGAATAATATTATAAAACACTTTTAAAATATTTTTTTATAATTTAATGAGCTGCTAAAATAAAAGGGCGGAGAGAGCGTGAAAGGAGCTCCGGCGAGTACGATCCCTCTAGATTTCAAAGCGGTGTTAAAACGCACCAGCAGCGTGGACACAGCCGCGTTGTTATGACGTACGTATGTCTGTACGTGTTTTGAACTTCTTTCGCACCGTACGAAGCCAACCGTGCTCATGGGAGGTGCGGAGGGAAGGACAACAAACTAAACGCTAAAAGCAGTTCTAAAAAAAAGAGCTTTCAATTTAGATGATGATTTAAAAGTGCATAGCACCCGTGGCTTCCTAACATCGGAAGGAAGAGCGTGCCAGATAGCCGCTGAAGCGCATCAGGAAAGCGCACGATGTGTATGCGAGTGTTGAACTTCTTTCGCACCGTACGTAGCCAACCGTGCTAATCGGAGGTGCGATGCAGTGACCATGACGACACACAGCGGCACGGGGAAAAGTGTTGAACTGGTGGCACCAACGTATGGCGCTATAAGTTGGTGCCACCAGATCAACACAATATCGCTGCAACTACCGGGCTCCTGGATTTATCAATTCATCTGCAGGGCGCTAAAAACTCACGTCATGCGGCAGTAACAGACTCGTTCCAAAGAAAAAAGGGCACAAAGCGAAACCGCAGGAGGTGACAGCTGCCTGCCAGGTAGCGCATACTGACAAAGATCCCCTGTATAGGCTCAAGAGACTGTTGGGGCAAGTTCTGTTAGTGAGCACCTATGAGGGGGTGGGTGGCCAGAAGCACACCTGGCCGCGTTTGTCTCTCTAGTGGTGATTTTTACAAACCACACCACGTACTCATTTGAGGCCGAGTCAACCTAGGGGAGGCCTAGGACCGGTGCAGATATTCATCAGTGGTGTTGGCCTTGAGCGGACAATCGAACACGGGTCGCCGGGTTCGTAGTGCAGCGTAGCGCTGCACCGCCACTCGCACAGTGCACACAGTGTGTGCCACACGTCCGACCCGAATCCGAATCATAATTTTTATTTAAACTGGAGGAGGAATCCGATGAGCCCTGAAGCTCTCTTCCACAAATGTCCAGTAAGCCGCATAGCTGCATAATTAAAACCACGTATACCGATGTTTGGGTAGATATAGGTCAGCCGCATTTCCACGAAATTGCACAAACCGAACCCGCTTAGAGCGAGGGAAACGCGGAAAGCTTCCACAGGGCGACCGAGGTGGAGGCGCATCGGCTGGGCGTGGACCGCGGTGAGTTGTCGTCGTTTTTTGGAAGCCACAAGCCTGGGCGCCAACCTTTTCAAAATGGCTGAAAATGTCTAGATTGTTTTCTTTTTTTTTTAAACCCATTTCGACTTTTAAAATGTATAGTAATCAATTGTGTCAGCAGGACTCTTTAGCGGAACTTAGTGAACCGGCACCGGTTTCGATGCAAGAACGTGAACTCTTACAGCAACGCTTGCATCCGTGCTGCTGTGTTCAACACGGGCTGTAACGCCGGGGATATTGAGGTGATTTCGGCTGTGCGACTCACAGCAACCTGGGAGGTTTTTTTTTTTTCACGTTTGCACATTCACAGCATGGCTGCAAATTGGCTGGACGAGGTCACGTGTCTTTGGCCACCACAGCCTTTCCTTACGGTTGAGCAAAAAAAAGGAGCGCGCCAGCTGCGAGTCACGTGATCACAGTCGCCCGAGGATAACCACTTCACTGCATCGCAGAGTCTGGAGAATTCTCGTACGTTTTGAAATAGTTTTCTTAATTAAAGCTTGGCTGATTATTAACCGAACTGATTTTACGAAGAGGGCTCAGTCTCCACAAAGGTGAATTGGCTCTGCGATACAGTGAACTGGGTTTGCAGTCGGTCTGCCGTCGTGTCACTGGCAATGTTTCGGGACCACACCCAACGACAGGATCCGACACGAGCATGATCTGTTTTTATAGCAAATAATCTCGAGTGGGTGGGAAGTCTACAATGATCGTTGTTGTACGGACAAAAAGGTATTTGAGCCTCCAGCATCGCAAGGTTCAATTGGCGCAACTGGCTCAAGACTGCCATGTATGTTGAACTTCTTTCGCACCGTACATAGCCAATCGCGCTAATCGTAAGTACAGCATTCAGGAAAGGTGACCTTTTTTTTAAATTCGTGCTTTATCGCAAATGTTTGCCGGCAACGATCCAGACACCCCGCTTGAGCGACAGGTCCCTGCAGAGGTTGTACCTCGACACCCGCCATCCAAGTCCGCCTCGCCTGCAAGGGCGTGTGCCGCGCTAGCACGCACCTTGCGGATCGTGTCCTGGTACTTGTCCAGGAGGCCGTGGTCAATGCCCTCGAGGGTGGCGAGGCGTTCGCACACGTCCGCCACGGGGAGCGAGCTCAGCGTGGGCGAGGTCGCATCGCCCAGCAGGGCTGCCGATGACTGCACAGACACACGGGGTTGGCACACGGCACGCACAGCATGACACACGGGTAAGACACAGCACGCACAGCATGACACACGCGTGGCACACGGAAAAATGTGATTTTTTTATTAGTGTGGATATTAAGCAATCGGTGCAATCCAATGTGTACATGAGCTCCACCACATGTGACACAACCATTGCTGACTTGTTCGGTATCGCCAAGCCATTGTGATGCCAGAGGCATAATACACGTGGCGCGACCTCAGATTGTGTTAACAACACCGACGCCGACACAAGCCCAAGTGGCATAGCTTTGTTTAAGGTCATCTTGGTCCCAAGATGCCTCTTTGATGTGCCCTCCGCCACTTGCGCTAGGAAGGCTATTTCCAGCCCAAACTCGGAAAAAAACCCGAAGCCTTCAAAGCCCTCCGTGAGTATGTGAACTAATTTGTGCAAATGTTATTGGATTAATGAAGAAACATGCAAACACTTCAAGGGTGATCTACCATAAGCCTTTGTTCGTGGTATTTGGGTCGCGAAAATATATGGAAATTCCACTGCGCGACTTCCAAATATTTTCTTGTCTTGCCACTTTTTTTTTAGGGGAATAAACATTTCGCAGATTTCTGTACTTTGCCAAGTAAACGTTGATATCATTGACCACAGAGGTCAACATTGTAACGGGGAATCTTTGCAAACCACATCAGTGTTAATTGTGGTCGGGTAACGAGTGGGGCTGGGTAGCTCCTTCGTGAACCGATACCGTGTCTGAGCAATGAGCTGGGACATGCAGAGGCCGAGTTCAAATCTTTGTCTGTGCCACGCATTATTATGAAAAAGAGGTTCGTCTACTGAAGTGACTTCAGAAGTAGTTCCATGACATCAACTTCCAAAGCCATTCTCTGACACAGGCTGATAGAATGATCATTGGCTAACACCTGCAAATGACAACGCATTGGGTTTATAACGAAGCTGATGGAACAATATGAATGTAATTTGGAGATTTTGTTTCTATCTGATATTAAGGGTCTAACATACCCACAAGCATGAGAAAGACAAAGACCCCCTTTATAGCCTTAACAGACTTTGGGGCAAGTGCTGTTAGCGAGCACCTGTGAAGGCCGGCACGGCACACGAGGAGGTGGGTGGACAGCATCACGCCCAGCCGTCTTTGTCTCCCAAGTGGGATGTTTTCTCAATGCACCAGGTACTAACTTGAGGCTGAATCGACCTAGAGGAGGCCCAGGACCAGTTCATATAACCCATTACTGGAGTTGGCCGTGAGCGGGAATCGAAATCGGGTCGCCAGGTTCGTACGCAGCGCACTAACCCCTCTGCACTTTGGCTCCCACGCAAACATACGTAAATACACAGACACAACACGCACACTGGAACACTTTCATACGCACACGTACACATTCCCAAGCAGAAGGAAACGCATTTGTTCTTGTGGCTTTTTGAGCAATTGTATTAATTTCCCTGTTAAGAAATTCCACCTGAAATTTTAATCTGTTGAAACGGCCAATCCATGTAAATTAATACCAGTCTCCAATACGTTTGTACATTTGAGAATACATATTCCCCATTTAATATTGCGAACTCCAGAGATGAGTGATATTGGCAAGCATCCATTAGGGTTGGCACAGGACAGGGATGCTTTGGCCAAGACTACACCGAAGCACCACCTTCGTTTCACCATTGCTGATATGCATCGCACGAGCTACTCAAATTAAGGCCGAGCTGACTTAGGAGCGGTCCCATGACAGGCTCGTATCGCACAGCCGGGAACTGAACCCAGGTCACTTTGATCAAAGTAGAGGGCGCTAATCGTTGCTCCTCCCTCTCGCTGTACGGGACGTGCAATTCTGCAACGTGCAGCATGCTTTGCGGTTTGTTTTCCCACCCCGTACGCGTTTGCGTGCCGACACGATCAGCGGAGTCAGGGGGCACCGGCCGGTGCGAATTCATTGGGGTTTGCAAAGAAATTCCGGCGCACAACGCATTATTTGTCGGGCGGCGGTGGGGTTCGCGCGCAATCGAAATAGCGAACAAGTCATGTCACGCTCCGACGCGCATCTCCATTCGCAACACAAGCGGCATCATTCCTCCCCGCAACCATTCCATCTCACGAGCAGGAATCAACACCGGGTTTGTTATGGGGTGCACACAGAGCCTTCCCGGCACGCGTGGATCTCGATTTTTGGTGCGGCCTCGGACCAAGTAAAGCTTTAAATATGGAACAAATGCGATGTTAAATAACGCGTTGAGTCAGCCGCGTGAATGGGCTGGGCTGGGTTTGGGTAAGCGGTGAGTAGTGTTGGAGGAGCTTTGGAGAATAGCAACAGAAGATGAAAAAAAAATATCACGGATAAATAAACACATTCCCACGTGTGTCTGCGCGTGTTTTTTTTTTAAGCAAAATTATTAATAGAATGAGAGCTCAGTCAAGTAAAGTTACAACAAATGGCAAAATATCAAGTGTCTCCATAACCATACGAGCATTGGGGGCTGCCAGAAATGGAAAGTCCAACTTATCATGGCAGGAGCCAGCCTCTGGGATAACCCAAGTTGATCTACCACAAACTGGTACTAAATTTATGAACCCTGGAGGGATGATAACCTACGTTGACCCTCCCCGAGAATTTGGAAATTAAAAAAAAAACTTTCGATCGTGAATCGTGTGCTCAAAGCTCCAGAAAGTTTAACAACACCCTGCTTGCTGTACTGCCTGCTCATTGGCTACCATGCAGCTCCAGGGAGCTTGGTGAGCGTTTGGAACCTACAAGGTCCACCAACGCTTGCTTCTTAAGTTCCGCATTGCAGGCGTGCACCACCAATGCGTGGCTAAAGTCAATGATCTTCCCAATCAGCTGAATACACTGCTGGCACGAAAGTGCTGTTGTTCGCAAGTATTTAACAAAAAAGGCTGGCACAGCAGAGGAGCAGATTGCATGCTCAGCGCAAAAAAATGTCACTCAAAAGTTTTCACGTTCAGGCCGAGCCAACGAAAGAGAAAGAGACCCAGGTTCAGTTTGGAAACCAACCGCCACTGAGGCCGTGCATGACCAGGAATCAAACCTGGTCACGTGAGAACTCAGGGCAAACTGCATTGACCACCGACAAGAGCTCCGCAAATTCAATCGCACGCGCATGCACACAAACACACAAGCAGGGACACGTGCTGTGGCGTGCACACGCACAGCGATGTTAGCCGAAACAATCTCCAAAATTAGTATGCTTGGAACGGTTAGCACCACCGAATGAAGTTAACATTTCAAAGACAGCACGTACATTTTGAGTTTGTGCACACATGCCGTGCGTATTTTAGTACTGAAAGTTATTCCACTGGCTGCGTTGTGCACAAAACGAGAGTGGTTAGGAGTTAAGGATTGCGAGCCAAACCCACAATGGCACACCTACAGCCGATATTCTTTTCTGCTTCCGTAATTTGCGCTGCAAAACAGAGAAGAGTTTGAAGAAGACAAAAAGACGGGGGGAGGGAGGGAAGGAAGGAAGGAGAAAACATTATGGTAGAGCCAGACGATGATCGGAAAAATACAGAGTGGGTGCACACACAGGGGACGATAAATCACAGTGCGGTGCAGAAACCCACCGCTATTCCCGGTCTGTCCACAACAGCAGCACACGCAACTGAGATAAGCAACGCCGGTGGTTCGGCGAAACGAAAACCCTGCAACCGATCGCGGAGCGTCCGTTCCACGCCCGCCAACCTTCTCCGTGCATTTACAAACACAAACGGTGGCGTGCTGCACGTGCCCGATGCTTGTTAAATGCTGGGAACGTAACTACGCATTGGTTATCGATGGCTAACCTCACTATATCGCACGTGAAACCGTGCCTGCATGCGTATATGGGAAAGGTCATGGGATCATGTGACCCTTCCACAGCCATACAATTTGTCTCGTCACTTAATTTGGAATATTTCACCTCGGAGGCTAAAAAAAACCCCAAAGATCTCTTTGGGGGCAAGTGCTGTTGGGGCAAGCGCTATGAAGGCCGGCACGACACACCAGGGGCTGGGTGGCCAGCACCATGCCCGGCCGCCTTTATCTCCCTAGTGGCGACGGTTACACAGAGCACAAGGAACTCATTTGAAGCTGAGTCAACCTAGGGGAGGTCCAGGACCGGCTTCAGATATTCGTCACCGATGCTGGCCGTGAGCGCTCGGCCCACGCACACATGCAACGGACGTAATTATGCACCCATTTTTAATTTGAAAGTTTTACGTTCCACGCGATGCATTGAGCAGGCGATTATAGCCTTTGGCACTCATCCCCGACTGATGTTGGCCGAATCGTCACAACTACGCAGATCATTGACGAGCAGTAGGCTTTTCTCTCTTAATCCAAGCATGCAACGTGCACTCTCTTAAAATGTACAGCTCGCAAAGCCTGCAGCGAGACGAGCACACCGTGTTCTCCCAACTGCATCATTGGAAGCAACACGTCTGGCAGCCGCAAACAAAATGCAAAGCAACACCACCGGCGTCATGAACGTTGAGTTTACACAAGAGTCAGTGTCCCCCCCCCCCCGCCCCCCACACACACCCACAATCTCTGTTGGTGGCCTTCAGTCATTCGTGGAAGTTCCACATTTCTACGGTGGGAGTCAGTCTATCTATTTGGACAGCCGCTATTGATTAACGGCGCGAACTATAATCGCCGTTGTGGAGAATTCGATTGCATGGGAGCTCTTTTGCACACGAGTTGTTGCAACTACCTTGTGAGCGTGCGTCTCTACCGATGCACCGGGTAAAGTTTCTCTTTGCTCGAGCAAGACTAGCGCGGCGCTGCTCTTTTCCACCGGGGTGGCCCTGAGCCAGCGGTAGATAATTCCACATTCCTATGATGCGGGGACACGTGATCTACAAAGGACAACAAAGCGATGACTTCCATGAAGAAAAAAAAACGTGGAAAAACTTGCAACGGTGCGGGCAGTTGAATGGACGACGCGTGAATGCAACACAGGACGGCGTTCCATTCAGAGGGAATATTTC